GCACAGCAATCGCCGTACGCGGTGGCACAATCCAAAACTGATCCGCCAGCCTGCTGGGTCCATTCGGAGAAGTCGAAGGCTGAGGCATCCTCGGCAGGGACCCCCCGCACCTTCACGCCCATATCGGTAAGGGCGAGGCGGAGCGTTTGGCAAGCCGTTCTCGCGGATTCGGTGCTCTTCGCCATCTCCCGCGAAAACCGCTGCGACTCCTCCGCGGCGCTCGCTTCGGCCCTGCTAGCCTTCTGGCGAAGAGCCTCGATCTTCGGCTCAGTAAGGTTGTAGTAATCGATGAGCACCGCCGAATGGGCCTTCTCCTTCTCCAGTTCGGCCTTGAGGTGATCAACCTCGGCCCTGGCCTCTTTCCCCTTATCCAGCTCAGACTGAAGGCGTTTGACTTTAGTTTTCGCCTCCTTGAGGGTATTGGCCAGGGCCTCCACCTCCAGGTTCTTGCGGCTTATTTCATCGTCCTTGGCCCGAAGACGGCTCTTAAAACCGTCAAAACGGGTCCGTACGGTTCGCTCCGTCGAACAGTGAGCCGCAAGAACCTAGGTGAAAGATAGGAGTGGGCGAAAAGAACAAAAGATCAATTGTCAGACGTAAAAAACAAAGGGGACGAAGAAGAAAACGAAGAAGGAAGAAAAGGCATACCCGAACCGCCAGGCTTTTAATGGTGGAACACCCCTCGTCGAACTCATTAAGTTCGGTGAACAAGCTCGGGGTGCCGGCGGCAAAGACAAGGTTGCTCACCCCCTCCACAAAGGGAATAAGGTCCGCCCAAGTCTCGAAATCACCAGGGGCGAAGTGGGGCGCCGCAAAGGAATACTCCGAGGCAGATGCTTCGGCGGCCGCACACTTCCCCTTCGCCTTGACTAGCGGCGAAATAGCTGGCTCGCGCAGAGGGCTCCCCAGCAACGCCGAGCGGAGCGAGAGGAGCAGTCGAAAGGTCCAAACTGCGGCCAGCGGGCGAAGTTGGAGTCCCGTCAGAAGATTCGTCGTCGCTGAAAACGCGGGCGATGTCGACGAGTCCTTTCTATTTAGAGACTTTCTGCACCGGACCTCCCTTCGCCGCCTTGCCCGAGGAGAACGCAACTAGGACCTTCGCCCCTTCCAAATCCTTCCGTCGAAGGGGGGAGCTGTTCGACTCCACCCCGGTCTCGTTGTGACCGGGACTTGAGGTAGCAGTGTAGCCGGGGGTGTCGACGCGATCTTCGATCGCCTCGTTCGAGGCCTTATCGGCCACGGCCTCCTCCTCTTCCTCCTCTCCTTCCTCCTCGCCGTCGCGTTCTTCGGCATCGTCCTCGTCGTCGGCGTCGGAGTCCGACGAAGCAGGAACCCTTCGCTTCCTAGGGGCAAGCTTCACTTGTCCGCGCATTCACTTTCGCGAAGGCCCTGCATCGTCGTTAGCTTTGTGGGGGTTTGCCCGAGGAGGCAATTCGCCGTTGTAAACCCGGTTCGCCCGCTCAGACGCTTGTCGTGTTAGCAGCTGGCTATACTCGACGACTGATACGTCGCCGATCATCCTGTGGGTTTCGGTTTCAGCCTGGTCGAGGGTCAACACTGCAAAAGTAAAAGTGTGTAGCCATGTTAAAAGTCAGACAAGACAAAATAACAAAGCACAGCAGTATATAGCAAAACAACAGTCTTATTGTTCGTCCCCTCAGGAAGAATCAGGTTCGGCAAACCGTCAACCTCTTCGCCTTGATCAACCGTGACTTGCCATGCCTGGGAGAAGGCAAAGATGCGAAGCATACAGAATTCCTCTACCAAGTTACGGCAGCTAAGGCGGGAGCAAACTTTGCGCAACAGAATGAACCGCGCCTCCATAGCGCTGTCCACGGCGATCTTGGGTTTCCGGTTCGGCGCGATCGCCCTGCGCCGGCACCGGAGCGCTTTCGCCGAGTCAGAACCAGCCTCGAAGGGGATGAAGTGATAGAACCACCTAGCCATCCAATGGCGGTCCCACTTCGACATGACAGCGTTCACCGGCCAGAGATCAGACCGCTCGGGACGAACGTTGAAGTTCACTCTCTCGAACACGGTCTTCTTCGTCCCAGCTAGGGTAATCACCATCTTCGAGTTCACGGTGGCGAAGAATATGGCGCCAAAAAGCTCGGCGTTAGGCTCAAACCCCGAAGTCCGGCATGCCCAGTCGAAAATAGCAATCCGAAAAAGCGCCGACGGGCTCAGCTGTGTAAGTTCCACCTGGAAGAGGCGAAGGATCTCCGGCAACAACACGTTGCAGGGAAACCGTAGCCCTGCCTCAAAAAAGACGACGAACACCACCGTCCGATTGTCGATTGGTTTCGGTACCACGGCTTTCCCTGGGGCGAAGGCCTGCCCCTCAACCAACGCCCCAGAGCTGACCAGCTTCGCCAGCTCGACGTCGTCCATAAGAGAAACCCCCAAAAAGGCGGTACTGTCGTCATCGACTCGGCCGGGATCCGGCCCTTTCGCCGAAGCAGGGTTTGGCTTGCGAGGGGCCATGGCGAACGGTGCGTTTGCAATGGCGAAGAAAGATAATGGGCGAAACGCTTGAGGGGTCAAGAGATGTTGTGGAAGAAAGAAACGGAGGAAGAGAGCGCACGCGGTAAAATGGCAAGTGTGGCGGTGAAAAGGAAAGAGCGGCGGGAATATATAGCTCACCTGGGCGACCGTTCGCCTACCCACCAGTAATAAAGCACCACGTGTAGCAAGGGTAGTCGAAATGGTAAATTCCCACCGTCCGAGCGGCACAGTAAAAAGCCCACGAAGGGAAAGCCCAATACTGTTCCGTTCGGCCCGGGAAAAGAAAATATATAACCACCAATCGCAGGAGGCGAAGCGCGGCAAAATAATAATAGCCGCACAAGTAACAAACTTCATTCGCAGGAATAATGTAGGTTTCGGCAGGGGCATCGGTCGAAAGGGGGCGCCGCATACCATACCACATGGTTTGCACGGTCTCGGCCGAAGCTCCAATCTCACCCTTGCCCGTGAGGGGCTTGCTGGCGGATGGCATGAGGCCCCTCGACCAAATCTGCCGAAACCCGTGGCGAAGGCTATGAAGCAAGAACGGCGTGAGGCGAAGAGTCGTACGAGTGCCTTGCTAGGCCAGAGGCGTCTCAGGCGAAGGGTGCAAGGCGAAGACTATTTGCCGAAGGAAGACGACTTCGCCATAGCAAGTTCACCCCTGCGAGGGCCGAAGAAGCCTTTCCGGCCCATCAAGCCTAGGGGCTATAGGGCCGGCGATCGCCAGACGGCCCATCAGGGGCCCATGAGCCCCTATAACATTATGTACCCCTGTAAATGTCCCTTTTCGTAAGGGTAATCATGTAAATTCCCCTGTATAACCTAAACCCTAGTAGCAAGAACCTGTAATGGGGCTATAAATAGTCCCCTAGGGCCATGTAATGGGGGGATAAAAAAGAGAGGAAGAAATTCAAGATTCAATACACCTCGTTTCCTTCCAAGCACTGTTGAGTAACCACGTCTTTCGACGTATGCAGTTGTCATTTCGACAACAAAATATTTAATACATTTTAGGATATACATATATTTCACTATTAGTCCTGTATACCGATGAAATGTCTGATACACATGTATTTCATTATTTGTATTTATATATACTTATATGCTTATAAATGATATCAAATGTAACTACATAAACACAATCTATTAATATCTTTCTCACATACTATATCATAATATTTTTTGCACAAATTAGTGATTTAAGATTTCAATGTTTATAACTGATAACAGCAGCATTACCTATACTTATGGCGAGCTTACGTATGCACTACTGTAGTTTTTCTGTTCACTTGATGTAGGATTAAATAATAGAAAAAATATGCAAGAATGAATAGAAACTGACTATCACCAGTATAATGAATTTTATATATATGGGACTTGTAAATTGGTATAATCTACGTCACATTTTCCCCCATATAATTGCTAGTTTGGAAAGCGTATTCATAACGAGTTTCAATACGATCCAACTGATAAGTACGTCAGACCTTTTGAAAAAACCAAAGTCAGGATCATTAAGCAACATGAATTTCATCTGTTCATTTTTTTTCTCCTGCATGTATATAGACACTCCAAATAGCATAGCAGGAGCATAGTACTGCGGATCACATGAGAAGTGATAAGGTATATATGGGGGAAATTTGCAACCAAAACTCGTTTTTTCTTCTTCACTGAGCCAGCAGCCATGCACCTTTCTGTTCTTTTATGTTCTTTAAGTTGCATGTATAGACACTCCAAATAGCATAAGCAGGAGCTTCGTGCTGCGTATCACATGACAAGTGATGAGCTAACTGGGAAATTTGCAACCAATCTCCTTTTTTCTTCTTCCACTGAGCCAACAGCCAAGCACCTTTCTGTTGTTTAAGTTTCTTTCTGTTCTTTAAGTTGCCATGACATTTGAAAACAAAGCTCTGTTTTGCTTCTTCCACTGAACCAACAGCCATGCACCTTCCTGTTCTTTTCTGTTTTTTAAGTTGCCATTTTGATTAAAAAAAAGGATTCAAAATCATGTGCTTAAAACCAGATCTCACACACAACTCTTTTAAGCCATGTTCGTCATATATCCAACCGCTCATGATAAAAATTATAAGTACATATAGATTCATGACATTAAACTTGTAAACTAGCATAATCAAATCATATGATCTATATATGATCTATGCATATATACAGGACAACTACACATAAATATTCCCTCCGTCCCATTTTAAGTGTAATAGTGAGTTTCTATATCCAATGTTTGACCGTCCGTCTTATTTATAACAATTATGAAAAAATTCAAAAAAAAGAAAAAAAGTCATGTATTACTATTCATGTTTTATCATCTAATAATAATAAAATATACTATTCATAAAAAGAATTTAAACATTGAACACTGAATTCTACAACTGCACTAAAAATGGCATGGACGAAGTAGATCGAATCAACAGAACATGGTGGAATTTATATATATATTTTTTAAACTTGATAAAAAAAATTTCTATATGATACAAATCCTCCAGAATTTCTACTAGACTAAAACCGGCTGCCTCGAGCTTGCAATGTGCTGCAGGCTGTTGCCCGGCCCATTTAGTTTAGGTCGGCTCGGCTCGGCTGCGAAATTATCTACTTACCTCAACATTGAGAGAAATTTTCACGCCGTTGCCATTGTGCGACGCATCCGGCGACCAAGAAACCCTAGCGTCGTGCCCGGTGGATCCTGGCCACCGCCGCCGTTCTCCACGGCGAGCGGAGCCGCTGGTATTCCTCTGCATCCTCCACAACGGAAGTGGGTTCTCGCCGCCTCAAGATCCCCTCCCCACCGAGCATCCGTCGCGACAGCCCCCTCCTGCCGTTGGAGCTTCTCCGCCGAGTGCAGATGATCTTCGCCGGCCTCCATCGCCGTTCTGCCAGTACTCGACGATCTGCTTCCTGTTTTTCCTCTCCGACCTCGACAAGGCGGAGCCCCATAGCGCTGCCGATTTTGGCCTCCCTGCACGTTTGGTTAGGGTAAGTGCATCTGGACCCCCGTTTTTATAACAGGAATCAATCATGTAAACATTACCATTTCCCTGGATCAAGTAGTCTGGTACACACGAGTTCATGGCTGAAATATCAAGTGCGCATACACGAGAGTCTAGCGCAAATTATTACATCATAGGTCCGCAGGGATAGTCTTAGAGCATAGGACCAAATGGTCCAGAATACATTTCAAAAGCAGAAGTAAATAAGGTAATGGAGTTAAGGCAGCGGCATGCCATTACCAGAGGCAACAACCATAACTAAGACCTAATGAGTGCCACCATCTTCAACACCCTCCTGGTAGTAGGCGTATGGATCCTCTGAAGCGTCATCTCCAACTTCTGGTTGAGTTTGTAAATTTGCAAGGGTGAATACCAACCATACTCAGCAAGCCACCACAAGAACAATGCTTATGATAGAAGGTATTCAAGGAATGTCAATGGTTCTTTGGCACAAAGCAAGTTTTGCAATTCTTTTGACAAGCCTAAGACCTAGCATAGACTAATCAAATTTTGTACCAGTGTTCCCATATAACAACGGCGGTTCTATCCACCATCCATTGTGATCCTAAGGATAGCTTCTCATCATTGGGTTGTCATTGTTTTCTGAGGACGTCCACCTTCCCTCCTCTCAGGAAGTGGCTCTATCAGCATAAAAATCATCATGCAATATCCTATCCCACACAAGTTAAGAATTTAGAGTCTAGCCAAGTGTAATACATGTCCTGGTGCTCAATAACCGCGAGCACGGGTATTCGAATAGATTTGGTTTACTCACACTGCAGTGGATGTACACTTTACCCGTACTCCGCGACTGCCCAACACATGAGACGCGTCACGGCAAAGCCTTTCAATAACCTCGCATTGGCAGTACCCGCTCCATGAACTTACATCCTCATGCATTCTAGGCGTCCATGTTTCTAGCAGTGAGAGGAGTTCTGGCGCTCCCGGGAAGAGAAGTTTCACACACATATTAAGTTATGGTTTAAAGTAAAGTTCTCTCTCGCACACTCATGGTAGTCCTACCAATGGTGACACCGATGTAGGAGCACGCCTCGTGGCCCTACCTCAACGGTTGCCCCACCGTAGCGCACCTGCCTCACTCAACGGGTGAACCATCTATACAGGGATACTGCCTCCGCTTGGCTATCTAATCCGTTGGGTCTATACCCATTCGAGAAGTACGGTTGTATGGGGGTTGTTTCATGCTTAAATTCATGGCTCGGTCCTTAATTGACCGGGGACGGTCCTAGCTTTTTCCAGATACCACCCAAATCCTTAGTCTGCCCTAGTCGAAAACAGTTGTTTAGTTTATTTTTCCTTTCACAAATCATGTCATCAATATCATGGCAATGTGGCGCCCATGTCTCCACATGCCGCGTCTCAATTACCTTCCCAAAGGTAATTGCCCAAGCATATAGTATTTGATAAATATGAGTATGCATGAATCCAGAGTAGCATTTCTAAGCATTTGTCATAGTTGACTAGGGACTCATACGTAATCATGGTTACAAGGATTTAAGGGGTAAACAATAATCAAAGCATAGCATAATCACAAGTAGGATGTTCATCATTGCATGCAATTTTATTTGTAAACAAAATAATTTCGCAATTGGGATCATCATGTTCAAGGAATAGTGATGACTTGCCTTGCTTGTAGTCCTGCGGGTCTTGATCCTCGCTCGAATCTGCAACTCCCTCGGGGTCTAAAAGTACGTGCGCAGAAATTGATTTTGAATTCGATTAGAATTCAAATAAAATCCAAATAAATCCAAATAAAAATCGAACGCGAATTGATCTTTTTATAACGATTATATCATTTGCGAAACAAAGTTATTCCGATTTTAGATTTATTCAACCTAAGATATTTTGCGATTTAAAAGTACCTTCTAAGAATTCAACGCAAAATATAACTCTTAACAAATAAATCCGAATTTCTACCACGAATCTCCAAAATAATCTACGATAATATGAAATTTTGCAATTCTACGACTAAAAGTAATCTACAATTAAATCCCTATTATTTTAATTTCTAAACCTCCTTAATCTCTCCCCTAATTTCTCTTTTAATTTTTCCTCTCTATTCTCTCTCTTCTTTCTTTTCTCTCCCTCTCCCTCTCGGCTTCTTCTCCTTCCTCTCTTCTCTCTGCCTACTGAGACCGACACAGAGGGGGGGGTGGCGGCTTACCGACGACGACGGTGCAGCGGCAAAGGGGCGCGGCACACGGCACGGCACACGGAGCGGCGCAGCAGCACAAAGGCGGCGGCACAGTGGGGAAGAAAGGGGAGGGAGAGGGGGATGGTGTGGGAAGAAATGGGGAGGGGAAGGGGGTATTTATAGGTGAACGGGGGAGGGGGTGGCCGGTTTAATGACAATGGGACAGCGCGGCGCAAGGGGCTCGAGGTGATGGCGACGCGCGGCGACGGGACGGTGCGGCGGCGCAGGGCTCGGAGCGGCGACGCGACGGGCGATGGCGATGGCGCGGCACGGTGATGGGACGGCGACGGGCAAGCGGCGTAGCGCGGGGCTCGGTGTGGCTCGGCATGGGGCTCGGCGCGGCGGGGGTAGCGGAGAGCGGCGACGGCGACGGGCGCGCGGCGATCAGACGTCGATGGCGATGGACGGCGACGGCAGCTCAGGGCTCAAGGCCAGCAAGGGCGGCACAGCAGTGGGGAGGGAGAGGGCTAGGCTAGGACCTCATTGAGCACCTTAGGCACAATGAACAGTGCTAGATCCTATTTAGCCCTATTTAGCCTATTTCTTATACAATTTTGATCCTATAAATCCTAATCCTTCTTAGATAAATGTTTAACTACATCTAAGCACTAAATTCACATGGCAAATGTCCGCAATTACTACCACCCATTTATTATTTGTATACTTTGTATTTGAATTTTAATTAGGGCTAATTCTTATTCTATTGTAATTAAATTTAATTATTACTAATACGGTCGCGATAATATTTTATTTATTTCTAACCTCACCTAAGCTCCATTTTAGATTATAATTCTATCACACATTTAATTAAGCCTTTTTAGGATTTATTCCGAACTAATTCTTTATAGTAAACGATTAATTAAACTCCACAATCAAAATCCAATTAAAATAGGTGAACAAATCCGGCATGATGTAATTTATTTAAAAAGTTTTTGAAGGTCCGTATTTTTAGGGTTTCGGTTTCGTTGGTCGAATTTTCAGGGTGTTACAGTGCATTCCCTTTGATTTCTCCTTTTATGTGCGATTGGATTATACGTGGAACGCTTAGATAGGGAACTTGTGGTTTGCGATCTCATAATTCTTATATTATGCTTATGTTAATCCAATGCTTCTGAGATAAAAGAAATCAAATTCGTCTTTGCATGTCTGTACCAGAATATTTAGGCAAATTTAAAGAACGGTATCTTTTATGTGGAACATGTGGTTTTCTAAAATTTACTTTTGAAAACCACATAAATTAATATATATATATATATATATATATATATATATATATATATATATATATAACTATTATATGGCACCTTAAGTGCTACGTATCTATGTGGCACTCCTCACATCATCTTTTTAACCCTCACCCGAACCTGATAAATTTTTAACTCGTGCCTCCCCCCAGCATCCCTGCATCCCACCGTATCCTCTCTCTCAGGTTCAAATAGGAGTAATTTTTTTACTCATGCCAATAACTCTATTTATATATTTGTGCAACGGCTCAGCTTTTTATTTCCATTTTCTCTCTCCCCATACCTTCTCTGTTTTTTCCGCATCTGGGATCCAGAGCGGCGATGGGCTGGCCGGAGGCAACCTTCATCCTTCTCTTCCAGCGACGGGTTGCTTCAGCAGCGCTTTCTCATCTTAATCATCACGGTTAGATTGGTGGTTTGTGCCCGTGAGGTAATTAAGGAGGTAGATTATGGTTGGGCATGGTCTTCTCTTATGCATTTGAGTTTTCTGCAACTGCTCTTATCCTATTTGATCAATTTTACATGTTTGATCTCATTTTCAAGAACTCGATCCATTGATTTAAGGCCAGGACTTCTAGTGACATTTTGTTTGATAGGCTAGTAGGTTCTGCAAGAGGGTTCAAACGGAGCAGTTGTCCAAAATTGGTTGTTTTCCTTTTAGATGTAACTCGTCCTTTCTGGATCGATAAGGCTTGTCAATTTGATTGCTAATACATAAACACTAATCTGTAATCATTTTTTTTTATTTATCTTGCATTCTCTCTCCTTTTCCTGTTGTGCCGCAGCTGGCGCAGGCACGAAAATACCCGCCGCTTGCCCAAGTGCTCGTCGGCCCTTGGTCTCATCGTCCGAGCCTCCATCGATCTGCTCCGGTCGTTTCCCTCACTGCCGAGAAACAAGCTATCAGATTCAGATTGGGTGACATAGGTAGGCATGTCACAATGTGATATAGGTAGATCTCGGCCCTACAAAACAAATTCAACAGCTAAGATATATTCATTCATGTCATCATAGGTTAAAATTTAACTCCATTAAAATTTTAACTCCTGAAAGTTTACTCCCAGTAAAATTTTAACTTCTGCGAGTTAAAGTTTAACTCGTGATATCGTGGACGAATCTCAGCCGTTAGATTTATTTTGGAGGGCTGAGATTCACCCTGTGTCACCTCGTGACGTGCCTACCCTATGTCACATAATCTGAATCCCAATTCCCAAGCCATCATAGATCGACGCCCACGCGATCTTGCATACTTTCTCTGATTGTAAAATGGTGTAATTGCCATGTAATTTTTTTAGTCGAACTGATGCAATGCAACACTATGCATGTGTATTATACATGTATTATCCTGATGGAAAATTTTCTCTGATTTATGAGGTGCACACTAGAGTAAAATTTTCACTCATAAATGAGGTGCACACTGGAGTAAATATGTTACTCCACGTGCTAGTAGTCTTGTACTCCTGTGAGTAAAAATTTTTCACAACGTTACATAAAATTATCGAGTAGTAAAACTATTACTATCGTATATAACGGTAAGTAAAAAAATTACTTAAGGAAAAATGGCTCCATTCGTAGCACAAGATCCTTCTTTAATCAGAAGGACTGTGTTAAACGGTAAAAAAAATTACCGAAGAAAAAATGGTTCGATTAGTAGCACAAGATCTTTTGTTTAATTAAAAGAACTGGACGAGGAGAACAAGAATCACTGCGTCTGATGAGGATGAGTGGCGAGCGCAGATGTGGGCGGGGCGATCGGAAAACAGGATGCATGTGTTAAGAACAGAAAAAAGTGGAGAGTAATTTTTTTACGGGAGACCATAATAAACTGGACATCACATAGCACGTGGAGTAATTTTTTACTTAACAAATCAGGTAGAAACCCAAATAAAGTGGACATATATAGCATGCACAGTAATTTTTTTTTACTGAAGGAATAGGGATTTTTTTACTCGTAAGGATGGGAAGGGGAGATCTAGTTTGGAAAGAGAAGAAACGAAAAATCAGGAAGCGATCACGATAAAAAAAGTAAATCACGGAACCAACGAGAAAATAGGCAGCAACATAGTAATTTTTTTCCTGAGATGGCAGGGGGAGGGGTATCGCTAGGAACGGAAAATCGGGACGCGGCGCCACCGTCTCTCTCTCTCTCTATATATATATATATAGGACACTCATATGGGGCACCATGGTGCCCGGGCACCATGGTATCTAATGCACAAAATCACTCAAATTTTTTAAAATTTTCAAATTGTGAGTATATACCTAGTTATAATAATTTGATTCATAACTATACTTATCAACAAAACAACTCAAATTTAACTTTATTTCACAATACATGATTACATACCTAACTAATTATATGTATGGATGCTATATACCTAGAATCAAAATCTAACACAAACAAGTTCAAATTCAGTTCAAACTTGCTTTAAACATAGTTAGTAAAGTAGTTAATGTTAATACCTAGGTATATTGATAATAGTTTCTATACTCGATTTGAACTTGGGTATATACTCACATTTCAACCAATGGTACGCCGGGCACCATGCGCAGCACCCATACAAATTTACTATATATATATATATATATATATATATATATATATATATATATATATATATATATATGTGTGTGTGTGTGTGTGTGTGTGTGTGTGTGTGTGTGTGTGTGTGTGTGTGTGTGTGTGTGTGTGTGTGTGTGTATGTATATGTATATGTATATGTATATGTATATGTATATGTATATGTATATGTATATGTATATGTATATATATATATATATTAAATTTGTTTGGTGCTCCATGGTGTCCGGGCACTATTGTTGAAATTGAGTATATACCCAATTCAAATGAGTATGAAACTTTTTCAAATATTTAGATATTAACACTAACTACTTTACTAACTAGTTCAAAGCAAGTTTGAACTGAATTTGAACTTGTTTTTGTTAGATTTTGATTCTAGGTATATAGCATCCAAACATATAATTAGTTAGGTATGTAATCATGGATTGTGAAATAAAGTTAAATTTGAGTTGTTTTGTTGATAGGTATAGGCATGAATCGAATTCTTATAACTAGGTATATACTCACAATTTGAAAATTTTGAAAAATTTGAGTGATTTTGTGCATTTGATACCATGATACCATGGTGCCCGGGCATATGAGTTTCATATATATATATAGGGAGCGTATCCTATGCACACAAGCATAGGATACGCTCCCTATATGGTATGTATATATATAAGTTAATATATACTCATAAATTTAGATTTATGGTATGTATATATATTACAATCCTCCTAACTTTCTAATGTTCTATCGGATATTACAAAATCTAGGACGCAGGGTGGGGGTTGATGAATAGGTTTTCCATCGTAGTAGAATTCTCCCGCGGGATCAATAACCTGATCCGTGATAAATCCCATCAGTTGTTCTTCAACAGACTTTATAAAATCATCATGGGAGAGCCGCTCCTCCATCCAAATAACCTATCTTTAGAATTAATGAGATATAAATATATGAAACCAATAAGAAATCAAGACATAATGTATGAATGATGTTTACGTACATCACTACAAGAAATCTTATGATAGATAACGCTTCATTTACGTCATAAAAACATAAAATTTCGTCACGTTCATAATCTGTGACGCTCGCGTGATGAAAATTCATTCGTAACCTATCATGCGTCTCTAATGGCGTTCTATGACGAAACCTTTTTTTTCGTCATTAATCTAGTGACGATCTTTCTGTCGTCATAACTTTGTGACGCTCATATTCGTTATTATCTAACCTAAAGAATATCATAAAATATCTTATGGCCCTTTAAAATCCATGTATTGAGCACCCTTATTATGGGCTTAGCCCAATGGCAAGCTCGACTAGATTTTAGCCTAGCCCATCTATGATGTGAAATTCAAAGTTTGTGAACTTCAAATAGAATTTTTTTATACAATAAAGTTGTATAACCCATCTAGATCTACAATTTTTATTTTGGTCATTTGTTCATCCGATAAGGTGATAATAACATTGTTCACAAATATTACATATCTCCCATATGGTTTCATAAATTATAAGACAGATGTGTAAAATTTGTGAACAATGTTACTATCACTTTGTCGGATGAAGAAATGACCAAAATAAAAGTTATAGATATTGATGAGTTATACAACTTTGTTGTTGATGACTTTTTCAGTTTAAATCATTTACTATTTGAAAATGTTGTCTGAAGTTGTCATAATTTGAAATTCAAATTCAAATTATTGAAACAAAGTCATATAACAAAATGACCAAAATAAAAGTTGTAGATCTTGGTGAGTTATATAACTTTGTTATTGACAATGTTTTCATTTGAAATCATTTATTACCCGAAAAATTATTTGAATTGAGAGGAGGGAGGCAAATGGACTTCTCGGCGAGGGAGGAGCAAAAGGGCTGGGCCGGCAGCCTGAAGAGAGAGGAGGGGAAGGAGAAGCCGGTCCGGGGAGGGAGAGAGAGGTTGTGGGCTGAGGGAGGGAAAGAGTAACACTTGGGTTGAAAAAGGCCGAAGTACAAAGCGAGGGATTTTAATTTGTTTTCCATTTATTTTAATATATTAAATGAACTTTGTGGTATTAAAATTAGTTACTGGGCTCCGTAAATTCACGGAAATTTTCAGATAATAATTTAGACCACGTACAATATTACAAAAATATTTCTGACCATGATTTTTAAAGGAAAATTTTAGTTTCCTCATTAATTCACTTGATTAAATTGCTTTAACTTTTAATATATTTTTATAGAAATGCATTATATAAATCTGTGGCATTTGATTTTTGCCCTTATGACAAATTAATATTTGTCACAATGTTCCATTGAAATACTTTATGACGATTCCTAGTTGGTATTAATGACGAACACCTTTTTTTTCGTCACTAAGCCACCACATCTCATACTAATCGTCATAAAATGGAATGTGCTGAGACGAATAGCTCCGATGTCACGAGGAATTCGTCACAGAAGGTCATATTTCTTGTGGCATCCAGATTCTTGTCACTATTGATTGCATGTGTATAGCTGTGCATATAAGTGTAGACATAGTAGCCACAAAATTTCATCCCATGCTCCTGTTTAGGATACTAAAGGAGAAACAAGAGATTTAATATACATTCCTATTTTAGAACAAATGATTGAATATAATTTTGGAGCATGTACTAACCAGAAAATTCATCCTCACTTCTAGTTTTTCATCCCAAACCCCGCGGATGAGTGTACGGAACCGTGCCCATGCCCTATATGCAGTTGCAAGCTATGATTAATTATCACAGTTTCCTAGCTATGATTATGGAGGTGGAGTGTATGTTAGTCCTCCTAGCCTTATCAGGTAGCCTTATCATCCCCATGTTGGGCATTCAACAGTTGATGTCTTGACCTAACTAGATATTGAGGATCACTATCAACCATCCCTTAAAGGATCAGAACACAGCAGACTAAGTTGGTTGAAGTGGTGGCAAAATTGCTATTATAAATGGGGAGTGGAACAATCCATATGGGATGTATATTTCAAGGCAAAATTGTCTACCGAATACCTTAACTTTGCGGTCTTAGCTATACCGTAAAAGTATATCTTTGGGAAACAAACTATTGAGTTTTGGTTTATGGCAGCTAGTTATGCTACATATAGAGCAATCAATTTTACTTTCTTCTGCTCCAGTATTATAGGTGTCGGTTCCAGAGAACCGATGCCTACAAGGCTATT